TGCATCTTTTATGCAAAAAACCACAAGAATTGACTGAAACATACACTTTTACATTAAGTTCTGTTTCCAGAATTGAAACTTATTCTCTCACATGCTCCATTAAGATGGTGACTGTTAGAGAAGTCTTTGTATATTCTCCTTGTACAATTAATATTCTAGTATACAGGTACACTTAATCACAGACATTCTTTATTGAGACGAATGTAGGACAACTAGCTAACTTTTAAAAATGTAAATATATAACCTGTGTCAGAGTATAGAAACAAATTATAGAATGCTCACATCCTACAAAGACAGCCCTATCATAAAATGGAGTACTGTTGGGGAAGCTCAGCCATAATTGCACTCCAGAAAGTAAAAGACATGTATTGCCTCCTCAGCAGAAATTCACCTCCCTGTATGAAAATCTGATAAATTGTCCAGTTTCCCACAGAGGGAACGACAGAGAATTTAATGAGAAACACACTGGAACTGGACCTGTCACTGTGTGATTATGCATTCACTAATCTCTCTGTAGGGTACAGAAAAATGTCAGTCTTCTCTGAGAGAGTTTATCTAGGGAAAGGGAAAAGCATATCTAGAAATAAATTACCAAAAAGAAATGTCTTTACTCTCCCACTGATACCTACTAGCATCCAACTAGACTGCTTGTTTGGCCTACAAATAGCAAAAGCATTGAGATTTGCATAGTAACCTATTTTTATGATTGCTAATCAAATTGAAGTGTCATATGATGACATGCATTGATACTTAAATGCAGCTGCAAGTGCCTGATATGTTTAGTTTGGTCTAAAAATTTGTGTTTGAGAACTTTAAGTACATAGGAGGGGCAGTGAATGTTCTTACTTTTATTGTAGGAGATATTTTATATTTAACATGGGGTTCTCTTACTCATCATCATCATTTTTGTCCAGTAAATTTTATTCAGCACCTATATACATCCTAAAAGCATTTCTGAACAACTAACATATGCCAGGAACCTATAATTATAATTATACATTAAGTTATGTGAATAACCAGAATGTCCAATAGCTCTACAAAGTGTTTAAATCAGAGGAACACATTATTCAAATTTGATTTTCGCTAAAAGCATTTATTAAGTTATTTTTATTAGCCTGATCTTAGGGTGGGAAATGTGAAATAATAGCAGATATATTCCCTCCAGAAGTTCAAAATATGAGAGTACATTGATGTAAATATCCACAAAGAACTACTAAGGAAGCGCTGAGCAAGTCGAAGAATGTCTTACTAGCTGAGTGTCTTATGCAGGGAGGGATCTCAGAAAACGCTTCCTGAATTTTTGGGAAAATAAGGGAATGGTGACATAAAATTGTGTTCTGAGCTATCCTTTTTTGGAGGAATGATGTCAATAAGAAATTACTCACATTTCTTCAAGAATTTCTAGAAGGGTTCATGGAGAATGGGAAACTTTAATCACAAAAGAGGTGTTTTTAAAATCGCATGTTTAATTAACTAGAGCTGTTTATTATCAACGATGATACCACTCTGACCATTCCCCCTCCAGGTTAATTCAAATTTTTTACATCCTTTATAAAATGTTAAGCCCAGAATTGATCCCAGCTTTGTAAATGTCTTAATCAAATCTCATACACTTACTCAGTGGATTTGTTTTTCAAACTAAGAAAAGGTTTTTTTAAAAGATCTATGTTTGTAACTTCATTGACAGCTTTTTTTTTTCATGTGGTTGTCCATTTTCATCTGGACATAGATTTAATTTCATCAGAGGAGGAACCATGTCCCTTTTTTGATCTGACAGAACTTTCAACATTTTAAGACTCCTGCAATCACTGGTGATAAATCTGGAAATCAAGTTAGAGATCAAATGCTGAAGGAAAAACAGGTGCGAGAGAGTGACTTGTGGTATTTATGTCTGAATAAAGACAAAAACAACTTAATAAACTAAAACATAAATGAGAGTTCTTGATTTATAATCTAATATTATTTGTATTGCATAAAATTGCTGAAGTACTGATTGATAATGTGTAGCACAGTTGACAGATTCAATGTCATAAAGATTCTTAGATGTAAAGATGCCTCACCTGACTCTACTCAGGTTGGGTTGGCTTCTTGTTCCCTTCTCTACCCTGAGACTTTCAAATAGGGCAGAGTAAGATGGAGGAGGTAACTGTTTTTCTCTACGAATACCTAATCACATAATCTTATTTCAAAAACTGAACAGTACAATTGGATTGACAGAAAAAAATAATAGGCCTTGTCCATTTATTCAGAAGTTTCTTTCAAAACTATTTAAAAATTTTATGGGCTTAACATGGATTTTACTTTATCAGAATTTAGATGTAGCAATGAATTAAATCTTAAGGGAGATGTAGAATTCCTTTAAGAAGTTATTGTTTGCTTTCCATTGCAGCAATGTCTGCAATACTGCTTTTATTTTTTTTTTAATGAGTTCTAGAGACAATTTGCTGACTGTAAAAATTATGCCAGAAGGCAAGTTTTTGGTTAGTGCAATAGTTTCATTTTGTTATTAAAAATGGGATAAGTCATGATTTATTCTCTGCCTCCTTTGGAAGGTAAAAAAAATGCTAATGCTAAGAAAATCATGTTTTCTATTTCAAGATTGATTGCATAAGAAATTTATCTATCAGATTTATTATGTTTTATCTTTAGCCACAATAAATACAAGCTTAAAAATAAAATAAATAAAAATCTTAGTTTTATACATGTAACTTTCATTATATATATATATAAACATATACATATATATATATATATATATATAAACTTGGGAATAGCTTCTATCAGTATCCCTCATTATTGTCACTTGATTTTGAACTTCTGGACCAATATAATTCAGCTGAAAGAATCAAGAAAATTAATATACACTTATATTCTCAAATTCATTTCTTTAGAAGGAAGTGAAAATAGACTCTGTGAAAGAAACATAACAGTGTTACTAAATCATATTGAAAACTTCTATTTATCTCTATAGATGTTCCATATGAAGAAATCTTAAATAATTAAACATAATATAATTGATAAAGCTGACATGTTAGTCTGGAGGTGTTTGTCACCTATAGGCAAAATAGACTTAAATATTAATATAAAATTTATTGTGTTTAGATGAACATAACCATAATCAAATAATTTTATTCAGTATTGGGTGGTTCTAGTTACTTAAAATAATAAAAAGCTACATAAGCAAGAACCCTCTTAGAATTTTGTAAGCATTAGTATAGACATATTTATACATGTTTTCTGTACATAGTTTATTTAATTAATTAATGTAGGTAACTTAATGCTTCACTGAGCAATAATTAAACATCGTTGTGCCTGTAATCCCAGCACTTTGGGAGGCTGAGTCGGGTGGATCACAAGGTCAGGAGATAGAGACCATCCTACCCAACATAATGAAACCCCATCTCTACTAAAAATACAAAAAGTAGCTGAATGTGGGAGCGTGTGCTTGTAATCCCAGCTACTCGGGAGGCTGAGGCAAGAGAGTCGCTTGAATCACGAGTTGGAGGTTGCAGTGAGGTGAGATCGTGCCACTGCACTCCAGCCTGGCAACAGAGTGAGACTCTGGCTCAAAACAAAAACAAAAAAAAAAAAAAAAAGAAAAAAGAAAAATAATTGCATATGGTGAGTAGAGAGAAGTGTAATTTAATATATTCTTTTTAATTTTAGCTTGGCTTTAAATTTTGAAATTAATGATTCCTTACTTGCATAACATATTTGGTGGCTATCTTTCACATTCATATGCTAATCAAATCAAACTAGGAGTATAAGGTAAATGATTATTTTTTAGATTAATGTATACTACAAGCAACATTTAGCCTATGCAACTTATGCATTAATGTGGCTTGCTGTTGACCATCACTATCACATCTCCCTTCCCTAGTTAGGAACTTTTGTTTATTAGTTTCTGTTTTACAACTTAAATTTTTCATGTGCCCTAAGAACTTGGTATACAGTGTGCAATACTTAACAATAGATTAGAATAAACTGGAGTCATATTTTTAGCTTTATACTGTGTAAACACATAAAATGCCATTTGGACGAGAGTTGGACATATCTTTGTTTTAAAAATTTCATTGTTTTATTTAACCCATAAATACTTTAAAGTATAAATTAAATAAATTTTTGTAGCGTTTAACTTTATTCCATTTAAAAATCATACATTAAGTGCAAAGAATGTTTAATGAGATAATTGGCTTTATCATAAAACACTATACTAATGTATATACATGTTTTAGTTGACGGATGAGTTTTTTTAATTATGTGTGTGTGTGTGTGTGTGTGTGTGTGTGTGCGCGTGCGCACTGTTTTCTCATCAAATTAAAGCAATCTGCTTATATGGTAGCTAGTTCAATTTTGATGTTTCCACTTTGTGTTTGTGCATGGAAATAAACCATAGTTTCCTTTAAGAAAAAAAAACAGTTTGTAAGTATACTTTAAACATGTTTAAATGCAAACCACGAAATTTCTACAAACTCTTTTGTTCTTCCTATGAAAGCCATACATTTACCCATTAGCTATATGGTTTTCTTTTTTTGCCACATTTTTGAATGTAAGATAAACATTTGCATTTTGCAGAACTTTATTAAAATGATTACCTGAGAATAAATTTTGTAAATTTTCTAAAGTTAAATTTTCTGTGATTTATGTGTCCAGCAGTCAGTATTTACATTGAAATTAAATGCCATTTTCAACACATTGAATTCTCAAATTAGTTACCTCAATCAAAAGGCCATCTTTTAAAATAAACATCAGAAGTTTCCTTGTGAAAGGGCACATCTATTCACTGGACTGGCTACCTTTAGGAAGGCAAGCTCAAAGAGTGTTTGACTGAGTAATAAGAATATTCCTGACAATGGGACTTGGCATGGATAACTGTTAAACCATTCATCTCCGTCAGTTCTCTGTCATTTCTCTCTAAGTGTTTGCTCCCTGTGGATCTATACAGTGGGATAACAGAGTCATAGAAGTATTTTTAAGCACTCCAAATTCATAGTGCAGGCTTGATGGACAGAATAAAGTTTATTCCTCCAGCTGTTCAAGAATGAGGGCAAGGGGTATATAAAAAGGGAAATGAAGGCAAGACAGACTTAGATCTCAATAAATGTTGCAAACTTAATATACTTTTGCCTCTAAATCCTTTTCCTTACCTCCCTAATTTAATTCCATCAAAATGTCCTTACATTTTATCCTTGCTTCTAACCCATCATATTCCAGCCACCAAAGGTGTAGGATTCCACATAATGTCATGAATTTACATACACATACACACAAATCCAAGCTGAGCCTTTGGTGCCATGAAAAAAGAATTTAAACATATTAAAATGTAAAAGTAAATATATTATCTGAGGTATGGCTAGAAAAAATAATTAAAAAGTGCAGTGAATAGGAAAAATGTAAAAGATTTCCACATTACAAATGAGCTATAAACACATTTATAATTCATAAACAGCATAAAATGATGCTTATGTCATATTAATTAAAATAATAAAAGTAAGAAAATAACGCTCAATGCAGAGGTACTTTTAAGGAAACAAACAAAACAAAAAACAAAAGTTCACAAAATATTTTATCTGCATCAAAATATTCTTTGGAAACCAAAAATAAAAAATGTATCATGTATGTTCTTTCAGGTTGATCTGTAAAAGTCAGAAAAAAAATAGCCCATGTTATTTAACTTTCCAAAAATACAAAGTTCTAAATATCCCTTAAGCATAAAGCAAAAGGCTTTAGGTCTTGCTGAACTGAAGCAGCGTGCTCCCTGTATTGGTACAAAGAATTCCAGTTTTCTTCCTATCAAAATACGTTTTGTTTCAGTCACACTGAAACAAATGATGTGACTTCAACACAGTGTAAGTATTGCCAAAGCTGTGTCCAAAAACGTTTCTTCAGAACTCTGAAGACACCTATAGAAACTCCTGAGGGGAAAGAATGATTTCTCACAAGGCCAAGAGAAATATTATCCAAAGCGAAACTTGAGTCTGTATTTCACTGTGTTGGGAGTTTTCCGAGGTGCAGAAAGGGGAACCTTTGGCTTGATAGGGCTAGGTGGCTTTTTTTTTTCAGGAACAGTAACCGTGAAAGAGAGTTCTGGCTGCTCCGAATGCTTGAATCTTGGCAGAAAATGGGTAGAGATGTGCTGGGGTTTCACCCGGGGGCTGCACCCTCGTTTGGCTTTTCCTCTTTTATTCAGGGCCACGTACCACTCCCGCCCTGTTTTTTCAGTTCTGTGTATTGCTGAGGCATAAGTATTATAGCTGTTTTCTTGAAAACGCTCCCTGAACTTGCAGTCATCTGTGAACTTGGCCTAGGGAGGAGAAAACAAAGGAAATTTAAGTTGTGGCAGTCTTTTCAGCATGTAATGAAATATAAGATCTTGTAGCAAAAAACCAAAGAATTTTGTTGATGTCAGTTCCTTCTACTCCATTTCCCTTTATAAAGATATATTTGCTTTTTTTAAAGTTGCTTTAAAATTACTATTTTTGTATCTATATTTCTACTTCATTTATCTTTGTATCACATTTCTGTTCACTACCTACTTGGTGACATTAATATCAATGAATATAAAAATAACCAGAACTCTTGATACATTTAAACCCCGTTACTATTGTTTAAATACTTTGAAACGTATAGTCACAAATCTTTTAACATACTGTTTTTCTTCCTAACTCACCAAGAAAATAAATAGAACTATACTATTAAGAAACAATTGCCTGGTAAAATATAAATTCCTGTTCAGAGAAATCGGGTCAAAATTATTCCTTCGAAACAAGCATGCATTTCTTCAATATTATCAGTGTGATTCATGCCGCTGAGAGAGAAGCAGCATACGGTCCCCATTAATATTGCCCGTGTTAGAGATGTTTAGGAAAAAAAAAAAAAAAGGTATCTTTACTCAGGCAATACAGGAAAGTATACCTGACTCCAGGAAGAAAAAAAGTCATTGAAGTCACTAACAGTACTTTGTCCGGATCTTACACACACACACACAAATCTGCCCTTGAAATACTTACAGAATAGTGGAAAAGCAGACAAGTAGACATCCGTCATGGTGCAGCTTGATAAATGGAATTATGACAGCGGTATGCAGAGGGTACAATGACAGCATAGAGGAAGGGCATCTAAGAGGGTGGAGGTGGCCAGGAAGAGGGCAGAAAAGTCTTCCTATAAAAGGTGACATTTGAGCTGAGTTTTCAAGTACAACTAGGCATTAGGGAGGCAGGCAAAAATAAGAAAGAATTTTCAGGAAGAAAGAACAGTGTGTTCAAAGGTCAGCATGACACTTTCAAGTACCTGTAAGTAGTTCAGCCTGACCTCTGCTTAGGATGTATGTGAGAAGTAAGGAGATGAGCCTGCCAATGTAGGTCACCACCAGCTCTGAAAGGGCTTAGTTAGCCATGTTGTGAAATCTGAAGGAATTTGTGGGAGAATGGGGGAAGAGTGTGAACCTGGAGTCAGACATTCAATCAAAAACCGTTTCTGCCAGTTAAGATCTTTGCCTTAGCTTCCTTATCCATAAACCTTACACCAATAGAGCTATTATAATAATCCAGATGTTTTTCTAGGGAGGAATCTGTAGCTTTCACCAAACTTGAAAGAGTCCATAACCCCCCAAAAAATAAGAATTCCCATACTAGTTCAGACTACTAGGTTTTATAATTTCAAGGAGTACTATTTACACAGAATTCCTGTGTTTGAGAAAATAAAATATTTTATCCCCTATATATAAAAGCACTAAAAGCTATATACTTCTATGTCAAATCAAGAAGATTTATATGGGAATAAAATGGCCTTTTTCCCCTTGCTTTTTCAATAATGCCAAACTTTTCTTTGGAATACTGTTCATAACCCTGAAATCTAAATATCTGAATATTACAAGGCAATCTACATAGATCCACTGTTTAAGTCCACATGGAATTTTTGAGTAATGCAAGGTACTGACAGTATTAGAAGTCAACCAATATCAGAGAATTTCCAACCACACATTAACTTTATGTATAATAGTTTACTGGAGTTACTTATATTTAAGTGTAGTTCAGTCAACAAAGTTCTATTTGGGGGTTATAAAGCCTAATATGTAGATCTTCAACAAGTCTACTAGTGAATCTCTGGATATGATCTCAAGCAGGCTGAAGACAGGTATTTTTTGTTTGTTTGTTTGTTTGTTTTGTTTTGTTTTTGTTTTTTCTTGAGACAGAGTCTCACTCTGTGGGCCAGGCTGGAGTGCAGTGGCATAATCTCTGCTCACTGCAACCTCTGTCTCCTGGGCCCAAGCAATTCTCCTGCCTCAGCCGCTCAAGTAGCTGGGATTACAGGCACACACCACCATGCCCAGCTAATTTTTGTATTTTTAATAGAGATAGGGTTTCACCATGTTGGCCAGGCTGGTCTCGAACTCCTGACCTCAGAAAATCTACCTGCCTCGGCCTCCCAAAGTGCTGGGATTATAGACATGCACCACCATGCCCAGCTGAAGGCAGGTATTTTAAAGAATCACCACCTAGGTGTAGCATCCCTCTCACCCTGTCATACAATACACCTTGCCAGCCTACGTTTAGGCCAGGACTGCTATGCTGACATCAGTTTTGAAGATCACACATTGACTACTCCTGTGTTTTATTAGAAAGACTTGCTTACAAATTCATTGTAGATTTGTCTGCAGCTGCTTAGCTCTTAAAAGGTCTTTCCCATTTAAGTAGATAATCCCAATTGTTTTAAAATAAAAGCTATAGACATCTGAATGTTTCTGGCTCTATAAAAGGATCAGAATTTTAGGAAGTTGTGAAACATTTCATTTTAAAAAGTATCAGGTATGTTTACCTTGTCTCAGTTTTTTTTTTTTTTTTTCTTAAAATGAAATTGAATGGCATTTTTGAAAATGTGTAATACATTATGCCTTGACCTGACTTCTACCTCTGTTTCACAAAAACAGTGGTGATTGCTTTAGTCAATTTTGATGGAGTTAGGTTTTTAAAATGTACTGCATTATTTAATATTTTCCCCCAACAGTGTTCAAGAAAATAAAGACAGAACATGTCATTTTTTAATTGATGCAGATGACAGGCACACATAGGCATGCACAGGTGCATGTACAAACATACTCCACAGCATTTTCTTTAAAAGAAATCTATATCATTTCCATTTTGGAGTCTATCATTTGAGTGAAACCAACTGCCCCACCCCCTAAAATTATTTCATCTAAAATCTTTCTGTTTTCCTCCTCAAGATTCATATTCTAAAGTTCTTTCTCATGAGGAGCTCTTTAAGGAGGTGGCTATTCGGACTTTAGATTTTTCAAAGGTCACCTAATTGTTACCCAGCGTAGAAATGTCTAGAGTTCTAAGAACCCACACACTACACACAGGCCCTCAGCCATCCAAATCCTACATTCTACATTAATATGAGAGTAAATGCAATCAGACTGGTTTGGCTTTCTAAATTGACTTTTAATTTAATGTTTTGTTTGAAAAATTCTTCCAGCTATGATGGAACACAGAATTATTTGAAACAAATATTTCAGTGAATTTATTCATCTTGAAGGATTGACTATTTCTGTTAATATTCCCGGTCATACTCAGACAAGATGATGATCCTAAGGAGGGCATAGGTCTTAGCTACAGATAGTTAAATACATTCGTTTACTATTAGAAAATTTTGGATAATAAATTTTCCAGGCCGATTTTTATTTTTTAAATCTTCTTTTAACTATAAGAAATGCTTTAGTAAAATATACACCTTTAAAATAATAGGAGCCAGGTACAGTGGCTCACACATGTAATACCAGCACTTTCAGAGGCCAAGGCAGGCAGATCACAATGTCAGGATATTCAGACCATCCTGGCCAACATGGTGAAAACCATATAAAATAATAGAACTGCATTAATTTTTTTTTTTAGAAAAAAAACCCTGAAGTTGAAAAACAGACTTTTTCTATAATTAAGAGTATGAAGCAGAGAGGTGAATCAAAATTCAGGTAAGTTGCTGAAATCGACATTCCTTTATTTAATTGTTTTACTACCATCAGCCACTACAATGAAAGCAATTGTTCAAATACTTGGTTTTTAAAAAAATGCTATCTTTGTTTTATATTTATTTTTCACTAATTTATTCCACAGATGTTTATTGACTGTTTATCATTTGCTAGGCACTGTGCTAGGTGCCCCTTTTACAGTGGAAAACAATATTGGCATGGCCCTGCCCATGTTTTTGTTGACTTAAATTACATTAAAATCTCTTTCATTTCTCCTGGATCTGGCAAGAATAAAAACAAGTTACATTCAACAAGCCATAATTGCAAAATTAAAATGAAATGTTTATAATAGGCATTTTTTATAGTTTAGTATACTCAAATTGACAAAAACAACAACAACAACTTAAATCGAACTATTTTTTCTTGAATATCCAAATTATTACAAGGAGAGGAAACACATTACTATTAAGGGAAATAAGAACTTTCTGCTGGGCATGGTGGCTCACACCTGTAATCCCAGGTGTGAGAGAATCACTTGAGGTCTGGAGTTTGAGGCCACCCTGACCAACATGGTGAAACCTCATCTCTACTAAAAATACAAAATCAGCCAGGTGTGGTGGTGCATGTCTGCAATCCCAGCTACTCAGAAGGGTGAGGCAGGAGAATCACTTGAACTTGGGAGGCAGAGGTTGCAGTGAGCCAGAATCGTACCATTGCACTCCAGCCTGGTAAACAAGAGCAAACCCCATCTTAAAAAACAAAACAAACAAACAAACAAAAAAACAAAAACAAAAAAACAAAAAAAAACACTTTTTTACTAGAAGGAAACTGTCTTGGCTCTACTCATCTCTTCTCACAGTGAAGGATCCATTTTAAACAATGCATATTTTTTGGAAGGTCAAATTAAATTCTAAGAAAATACAACTCTGATTAACTACAATATTCCAGAAATTACTAATTCTGCCAAGTTGAAATTAAACAGAAGTTCAATTAAACCAAATAAATTGTTTCCAAAATGATATTAAAAAAGAAAAAAACTCCCTAAATCTCTTCTTGTAGTTTTGTTCCTTAGTAAATATTACATTCTATGATTATTGAGCACCTTGAATTAAAGCTGTGCAAATACCAACTCTCATGTGCAACTACAGAAGTAAATATGCAGTATATGGAATGTAGACACAGGAGTGATTTTGAACAGACACCAGTGTAAACTTTGGAATTTGTGTGTATTTAATCAATTTGAATGATTTATTTCATTTTGTTTCCTTTTATTTGCTTCTTTCTCCTGAAAAACCTTATAAAGTTAAGAAAAAAATAGCCAAATCTAAATAATTAAA